AATATTTAATAGTATTTAAGTGTTTATTGTTTATTTAAAAAAAATGGTATTTCTAAAAAAACATTTCCATTTGTTTTGTAAGTTTGGTCTGAGTTCTTGATGCTTTTACAACGTTTTCACCAGCAGGTGTCGCTAGCATGTGCTGTTTCAAGTGCTTCGAAACATCGAATAATTTTTCGAAGCAATTGGTTCAATTGATTCAATGCTTCGAAAAGCTTAGTTTCTCCCATCACTACTTTACTGTACTGGTAGTTGTAGTGTTTTACTCTATAATCCAGATACCTTTTCAGTTAGAAAAACTACATCCCCCGGGCACCAGGCCCATCGGTCCTCCCACTTTCCTCAGCTCGCCTGCCCTCCCGCTTTCTATCGGTCCGCGGGGAAGTCGCAAGATGGCCGACGTCGCATGAAAGTATGTTCCTCTCCTCAACATGAAGTCGTGAGTGAGACAGAGCGAGGGAGCTTACATCGGGCTTTTGTTTTTGTTTTATTTTAGTTGTTTTACTTTATTTTTCCCTTAATTATTCATCTCATTCCGAATCGTGGCAGCCCCCGATTTGTCTCGACTAGTTGACGCGTCAATCACGCCGGGATCTTGGCTAACTGCGCGAGCTAGTTTGTTAGCCACAAACTAGCTCTTATAACAGGACATACTGTATTCACTAGCAGCTAGAGTTAGTTTGAATCACCTAACGGTCATGTTGGATAGCAACGGCGTAGTTGTTGTTTAGTTTGTAGAAAGGTTACAAATAAGATTATATTTTGATGTTACCATCATTGTCGACATCGTAACTGTAGCGTGCGCGCCGTTATCCTCCATCGTTACGTTGTAGACCGTGCAACATTGTAATTCATCAAAACAGAGAGACTGTAGCGGGATTATACTATTGACACAGTAAGGAATGGACACAGATTGCACGAACACGACCAAACGTAAAAAATAGCCACGCGTATCTGGAATTTTACAGGGGGTCGGTCGGCACTTGCATTTGTGGGATAATTTATCTGACATTTCAGCTCTTTAGTTATCCAACTACAAGCGGACAGATCTAGTTCTGAGCACACAACCTAGAATTCAACTTCTTAACCAGACCCATCCATCTCAAGCGCTTAGACACAATATGGGAGTGCAAGGGTTTCAGGAGTATTTGGAGAAACGCTGCCCTGGGGCGGCAGTTCCAGTAGATCTTCTCAAGTTCGCGCGAACCGCAGGCCGTCAGCCCCCACACCACCACCACCACTACCACCATCCCCATCATCCCAGCTCGCTGCCTCCGCCTCCCCCGCCAGCGCGCATTCTGGTTGACGCAGACTCTGGCCTTCAGCGGCTCTACGGGGGCTACCAGACCGACTGGGTTTGTGGAGGCGAGTGGAATGCAATGCTCGGCTATCTGGCGGCGCTCTCCCAGGCCTGTCTGTACCAAGGCGGACTGGAGCTGGTGGTGGTCTTTAACGGAACGCTTGGCAAGGATCGCTGGCCGGAGTGGGCGCGGCGGGCGCAGGGGCAGCGACAGACCGCACAGCTCATCGTCAACCACGTCGGAAGCAAGGCCACGCCCCCTCCGCGGGCCTGGTTCCTGCCCCCGGCCTGCCTGAGCCACTGTGTCCGCCTCGCCATGTTCCGATTCCGCGTGCGGGTGAGTGGCCTGATGCCCCCCTCGAGAGGAATTGTGGATTGCCATGTCCTTTTAGCAGCTTTCTTACTTTTTTACATTTCAATGTAGAGAGTTTTAGCCAATTTGTGCTGCAATGCATTGCCAGTTTCATTGTAAAAGTGTTGGCAAAGCAAGTAAAATAATCTTCAAAATCATCAATTTTCATTAAACTGTCATTTTAAAGGTGCACTCTTCCCTCATTAAAGTTTTACACGTAATGCAGTGATTAATATTTTGAAAATGTTTACAATGATGTACAGGTGAGACTCCAGTCAAAATAATAAAAAAGCTGTTTTATTTTACATGGAGTGGGTCTCCTCATGAAGGCTGCCATGTTATGATCACATGACTAGTCAATTGCTCATTGATTCACCCTCTGACACTTTTGCTTGAGGAATAAGTTAATCACAGCTGACAGACAATTTTGGATCTCTAGCTAATGTGTGTTATAAGGTTGTCACAATACTGGAATTTATAACTTTGATACAGCAACTAGAAAAATATTGATATTCAACATAATTTTTGACACTACATGGAAAAATTGCTACAACTCTTTCCCACACAATTCAAAGTGTTTTCTTATCAACGGAAACTCTGATGTCCGAGATACATCAGGCCCGAAAGCTCTGAGTAAGGTGATATATCAATAAAATTATTAGTTTTACTATTTCTAAGAAAATTACATTACGAGTAGTAATACAACTGCACTGTAAAGTAAAAAAAATTGAATTTAAAAAAAAAAAACAGTATATGAATTAAAGTATCTGTGACCACAGGTTTACATATGCTTCTTATTAGAAATGTGTGTGAAATGCTGTGATTATCTGTCGACAAAATTGTTGGAAACTATGCAGATGTGAAAAAAACTGCGTACCTCGCAGTGTCCATCGTGTTACAAAGTAAATGTTAAACTCATTGCACAGAGATGGAGTTTGCTGCGTTTATTTTGAACAGAGTCGTTCGCGTGTAAGAACACAGTGATGCACTTCACTTTGAAACATGCAACAAACTATATATTTATTTAATTAAAATACACACTGCTGTTTGTGTCACCTTGATGTCAGAGCTGGTACCAGTGTATCAGTGCTGCATAAAATGAGTATTGCAATTGTTTCAAATATTCAGAATCAATATGTATTAAAAAATGTATAATTTGACAACACTAATGTGTTAGTATAAACCCAAGATGAGCCAAAAAAGTAGGCTAATAGAGTGCACCTTTAAGCTGGATGGTCAAAATGCTGTTTGATCAGAAATTCAGAGCAATAGGAGCTTGTTTATCAGTAGATCACAAGAATACATGGTCTCCTTCCACCCTGCTTATGTTGTAGGTGGTGCAGACCCTGGAGGACCACCATCAGGAGGTGCTATCCCTGTACAGAGACTATGGTTTTCAGGGTCTGATTGCACAGGACTCAGAGTTTGCGCTATGCAATGTTCCGGCCTATTTCAGCTCCCACGCTCTCAAGCTCTCATGGAATGGCAAGAATCTGACCACTCACCAGTACCTGCTATCAGAGGCGGCTCGCCAGCTCGGCCTCAAGACCCAGCACCTGCCCATCTTTGCTGCTCTTCTTGGTAAGTGACGCCACAGGTTTTTAGTCCAGGACGTGACTTGCGTTTTCTCCATACATTGGTTGGTTCTAAATGTGGGTTTTAAAAAAAAAACAGGTAACCACATTCTGCCAGATGAAGACTTGGCTGCCTTTCATTGGAGTCTGCTAGGCCCAGAACACCCTCTTGCCTCCCTAAAGGTGCTTATACAATTTGTCATTTCACACTTTTTCAAATATTTTCATTCTTCCATAATTGTAATTGATCATACAGACTTAAGCATCCTTGAGCATCAGTTTTATCAATATAACCCATTCTTTTAACTTCATTCTTTGTTCTTCTTCTCTCTGTTCAGGTAAGGGCTCATCAGTTAGTGCTCCCTCCATGTGAGGTTGTTATTAAGGCTGTATCTGAGTATGTGGCATCCATCAAAGATCTTGGGAATTTAGATTCGGTGGCCAAGGATGTTTTCAAGCAGTCACAGGTGAAGCATGGCTGTGTTACCATATGCGTTTTCATGTACTACCTCACCTTAAAAGTTCACCATAACATGGGGACTTTCTAATTTTTCTAACCGCCAGTCACAAACTGAAGATAAAATTGAGAGGTTTAAGAAGGCAGTGGAATACTTTTCAGCGGCCAGTAAACCAAGACCTCTCTCCATGGGACCTTCTCCTTACCTCTGTAGGTATAATGTGGTGTTTGAAGACCCTTGACAGTACATACACTAACCTTCAAAGTTTAGGATCAGCAGGCTTTTTTTTCCGTTTCTTGAACACCAAATCAGCATATTAGAATGATTTCTGAAGTATCACTGAAGACTGGAGTAATGATGCTGAAAATTCTGCTTTGCATCAAAGGAATAATTTATGTTTTAAAATAGTTAAATAGAGAACACTTTTAAATTGCAACAATATCTCATAATATAACTGTTTTTACTGCATTTTTGATCAAAGGAAAACCCCTTACAGACCCCAAACCTTTGAACAGAGTGTATGTTTATTTTCCATATGATAAACTTTGAAATCAATCAGATTATACTCACACGATATTAATTTGGTTTCCCTGACTCTTCTTTCAGTTCCAGGCTTTGGGCCTAGTCAGTTTAGTGGACCTCCAGGCCACATGGGGGCAATGCAGCCTGTAAAAGCTCAGGTAATTTTTCTACTAAAGAAGTGTAGTGCCTCAAATCATGTTTATTTTCCCGAAACTGATTTCAGCCAATCTCTTCTTTGCTGTTCTCCACAGTTTGGTCCACCCCAGGTGTCAGGTGTTAAGGTGCCTTATCCAGGTGGGCTCTACGGACCCGGCCCTGCCACTGGTCCAGCCCTTTTATGCCAGAACCCAACTCAGCCTCTGCAGGACTGTAATGATTCACTAGTTGGGAAAATGGGCTTTGCTGATTGGTCTGCTCCATATGATTCCTCTCAAGGTGGCAACCGACAGCCCAATCATCACACTGCTGCTCCTACAGGCCCCTCCCCCTCATCATCGTCGTCTTCAGATGGGGAGGAGCAAAATGACACCAGCACTAAGTGAGTTTATATTGTACAGAATCTGTTCATTGTGTTGTGTACCTGCAAACAATCTGCTATTCAGAGCAGAATGAATATTCATTTTCTGTCGTAGTCATTTGGCTGACAAGTCTACAAGATGGGAAGATCCCAGTGGACAGGGCGGCAGTGGCTCTGGGGACGGGCACCATGGTAACGGAAGTGGGCCGTCCATTCCATCATTGCTGTCCATGCCAACGCGGAGTCACATGGACATCACAACTCCACCCCTTCCACAGGTCAGTGCCGAGGTGCTGAGAGTGGCAGAACACAGACACAGAAGAGGACTCATGTATCCACAGATCTACCACATCCTGACCAAGGTACAACAGTCACACAGCATGTGCTCACAAATAAATGGCATTCTGGTTTCATCCCTAATATTTCTTGCTGAGGAAGTTTTGAAGTTTTTACTTTTACTTTTTTTTTATGCATTTAAGATCAGTATTATTACTTAGGTTTATGTATTTTAAAGTTAATTATAATATTATATATGATATATAGTGTATATACAGTATCTCACAGAAGTGAGTATACCCTTCACATTTTTGTAAATATTTTATTATATCTTTTCATGTGACAACACTGAAGAAATGACACTTTGCTACAATGTAAAGTAGTGAGTGTACAGCCAAAATATTGGATACCTTAAAAAACCTGAATAAATATTAAATAAACATTTTCTAACAAAAAAGTAGAAAAAAAGAAAAATGCACAAAGAACTTGTATTGAGATTTCTCCATCTACAGATTTTTCCCTAACTCACTTTTGTGGCCAGCGGTTTAACATTAATGGCTGTGTGTTGAGTTATTTTGAGGGGACAGCAAATTTACACTGTTATACAAGCTGTACACTCACTACTTTACATTGTAGCAAAGTGTCATTTCTTCAGTGTTGTCACATGAAAAGATATAATAAAATATTTACAAAAATGTGAGTGGTGTACTCACTTCTGTGAGATACTGTAATATAACCTTTGATGTTTAAAGGGATGGTTCACCCAAAAATTAAAATTCAGTCATTAATTACTAGGGCTGGGTATCGATTCAGATGTCCCGATTCGATTCGATTTCGATTCGCAAGCTAGGTGAGCCATAGACCTTGGTTAGACTGTAAAATAGCAGACATGTTTCGAGTGTTGTCACAGTACCAAAACATAAATGGCTAATACCAATACCAGGCAACTTTTGAGGTTTACAAAACTGATTTAAGTACCACAGCAAAAATGAATGTGCTGTTCAATTTTTCATTTTTGGGTGAACTATCCCTTTAAGGGTTTTTCCATTGTTTTAATTTTTGTTTTAGTATAGCACTATAATACCATTTATATTTTTACTTTTTTTATAATTTAAAGAAGAAACCAATCCGATGTATAGTTGACATTTGAGGCTTAATACTATAGAAAAGCACTAAAAGTTTTTCAATTAGTGTTTTCAGCTTGTTTATTTTCATATAAAAATACGGCATGCAGTGGCATCAAACAATGGTATAAACATCATTCAATGTAAATTGTGATAATCGTAATTAATAATCGCAATTACAATTTCAAGGCAATAATCGACAATTATGATTTTTGTCATAATCGTGCAGCCATATTCTTACTAAATGATTGGATAAGTAGATCAGCACTGAACCCGAGGAGCTCTGGGTGTCTTGAGCGGTATTGTGTGTTTACAGGTATATGATGCAGTGGCCGGGGGGTCGCATTCTTCAGCGCCATGAGCTTGATGCCTTTTTGGCTCAAGCTGTGTCCAACCAGCTCTATGAGCCTGACCAACTTCAGGAACTCAAGGTAACGCATTTCTCATTAACTCTGTCACACAGTGACCACCCCCTCCAGCAAATAGGGCTAGCCTTTTTTATTTGATTTTTTTCGCTGTGCTTGTATTAGGGCTGCACAATTTGAAAAATGTTGTGGTTTATATCAATGTGATTATTATCTATTATTATTACTATTATTATTATCAATAACTATAACAACTATTATTAGTAGTATTCTTATTTATTTCTGAATTAAAATATTTACCAAAATAAAAATATATCGCTATTGTCAAATTTCATAAAAAATAAAAAATAAAAAAAAGATTTAAGAAAAGTAATACAATAATCATTATTTTATTTTACAATACAGTTGTAATACAACAATACTAATATTTATGGCTGTCTTAATTTTTTTTATTTTCATTAAACCATCAAGATTTTATTTTGGCAAAAACCACAGGGAGCCCTTAAAACTTATTTTATTGACAACAGCTGGTTTATAATTACAATTTTGTGTTGTTTTCCCAAATGAATGAGATTAGTTTGTATGGAGCAGCATTTACTGTAAACTGAGCCTCTCTGAGATGCTGAAAAAGTATATAACGTATGTATCAAACGTATGTGTGTGTGTGTGTATATGTATGTATATATATATATATATGTATATACATATATGTATATATGTATTACGTGTGTGTGTTGGCAGCATCTCAGAGAATGATTGAAAACTAATTAAAGATTTTTATTTCTAATTAAAGATGTACTTTTTATTGAGTCAATAGCAGATGGATAGAGAGCTGTGGTTTCAGACTAAAGTACATTTGCATGTGTTTGCATGTTCTTATATAACTGTACAGGCCCAGATTACAGTAAAAGCAGTGAGAGGCAGGATTGAATTGAACACTGCACACAACATACCCCATGCACTCTTTATCTTTGTATCTTCCACGCTTTCTTTATTAAATGTTCATTCACAACAATTTTGACACTTTTTTTCTTTGCCTTGAGGCAAAGCATGTTTTCAGACAAGACTAACTTGTACGTAAGGACTCAACAGCTCAGCTCAACTTCAATAGCTGTATGTCACATAAAGCAAAAGGTTCAAGGCAAAACATTTCTTTAAAATAGAATGCTGTCTTTCAACTGTCAGGCTGTCAATAATCTGCTTTGAAAGAGCTCTGTGAAATCTGAAATGACAAGCTACTGTGACATTTACCAGGCTGATGCCAAACATGCCGTCGGATCATATTTCTTCTCTATGACACTGATACCAGGTGGAGAAGGTGGATAACCGTGGGGTGCAGCTGGCCTCTCTGTTCATGGGTGGAGTGGACACTGCCCTGTTTGTGAATGATGTATGTGGACAGCCCTTGCCATGGGACCACTGCTGCCCTTGGGGCTTTTTCGATGGGAAGTTGTTCCAGAGCAAGCTAGCTAAAGCCACCAGAGACAGAGCCTCCTTACTTGATATGTGTGAAGGCCAGGTAACAAATGTATAGATGCAGTCACATCTGTTTAGTATTTGGGAATATTTAAGGGTTTTTTATTGTCTTTGACGCTTTGTCCTGCAGGAGGAGCTGGTTTCAAGAGTGGAGAAGATGCGCCAGGCCATTCTGGACGGCATCAACCTGTCCCGGCCACCTCCCCCACCTCCACCACTGCCACCCCCTGCATTCCTCCCCCCTGCCATGGTGCCCCCTTTCTACCCCATGCATCCTCTATACCCTCCTCGCCACCTGGGCTCAATGCCTCCTCTTCCTCCTCACCATCACCACCAGCACCGGCACAGGGCCTTCCCAGGTTAGACCTTCCTCCCATTTAGCACATTTAGTTGATTTTATTTACTGCCCTTTGGGTGCCACTTAGTCATTTTCTGAAACTTTTTTTTAGGAATCCAGTCTATACCTCCCCAGGGTGGCAAGCTGGAAATAGCTGGCATGGTTGTTGGTCAGTGGGCTGGGAACAAACCAGTCCGTGGCAGAGTCAATATGCAGGTGGTGTCAGTAGGAGGGAAAGGGTGAGTCCATTCTGTGTCATAAAATAGTGGCCATACAGCTGATTATTTATGGAGGTATGACAGAAGCCTCACAACAAATGGCTCCTCTCTCTCTGCTGCTCTTTATCAACTCTCAATTGCACAACCTACTGGTGAGGCTTCTAGCAGCAAGTGGAGATTTTAATGCATTAAACTCTGTGCATGTCGACTTCATATGTATTTCCGCTAAAATCTCAGTGCTGTACCAGCTGATAGAAAACCGTGGCAGTAGCAAACTCTTATTTCTAATAACTGTTTATCTCCAAAAATTACGATATATTATAGTATTGTGTACTCCATTAACTATAGTAAACATAACATTTTTGGTATTAAACCATAACATTTTAGTAACGAGTTCCAGAAGCTTTAAATAACCTTAGTGTTAAGGTGTTTCATATTCATATTGCTTTGTCCTGTCATGTAATACTTTCTCAAGATTTAATTTTGTGCTTCATTTTCTCAGTTTTCATACACTGCGCTGCACCAGAAGTTGCAGTGGTTTTTGACGCTAAATGCAGAAGTGTTTGTGTATTGAGACTATTCTTAGATTTTCAATTTACAATCAAATTTTAAATTTTACCTGTCAAAAAGATTGTATTACCTGGTGAAGATGGTATATATTTATTTATATCGAATAAATACGAATACAAATGTGCAGTGTTTTTTTTTTGAAATATTCACTGCGGAAAATATACAAACATGTTAAATTGCAGCCTCAAAAAAATTCAATGGTTTTAAATGCAGTTGAACATGCTTTGTGCCAAAGACATTTTTCATAAATATATAATTCTCTCCACTATTGTGTACATTTTACAGAGCTTATCTGTTAATGTAGAGGGCGTTATTGTTGTATTATTGTTTTTAAGCATAAAAAATCAGCCAAAATGTTATCCCTAATGCACATATGTATATATAACATCTAATCTTTTTTTGTTGTTTCCCAGAAGGGGTAAAGAATTGACAGTGAAAGGAAGGGGAGGGAAGAAAGTGACCACCAACAGAACACCGGTCAGTCTGATGCATAACTTTCACGCTAAATGCTAAATGTGAGCGAGGAGATAAACAATTTTTTCCCTTCTCTTTCTCCCAATGTTTCTCGTAGACTCTGTCCTCTTCACCACCCTCCAGCCCCCCAAAACTCACCGAGGACGCTAATGCGGTGGGGCGGCCCACGGAGGGAACGGGGACCGCGTCGCAGCAGCTGAACGGCAGCTCTTCAGGAAGCGCCATTGGTCAAGCTCTTGACCTGCCACCACTGGCCCAGCCAATCCAGTGTGCCTTAGCCAGCAGAGACAACCAGTCAGGAGATGGGGTGGAGGTAGAGGCCCCTTATTGCCTTGACGACTGCCCATCAGATGGTGCACTACAGAAAGAGGAGTAATTACATCCCATAATGTAATAAGAATGAGAGAGTGAGAGGGAATGATCTAAGGTCGACTGCCTTTTCCTTGCAAAATTGAATATTTAGGGCACAGTAGCCACTTTGTGTTGTCATGGTATAATTTATGATGCTGCACATGCTGGAAACGACAGATGGACAGTGTCAGGAATGCGGTCTATGTGTCACCTTAAGCTGGGTTTGGTTTAAAACTGAGCGAGTTTAAATCACAACCCTCGACTGCACATCGCCCTGAATCTTCTGGTTCTGGACCTCATCCTTTCCACTGGCCCATCAGTGTTGTAGCATCGTGAAAAGCTCTCGAGTCTTTATTTCGACACCGTTTTCTTTTCAGACCTTAGTACATTGACGGTGACCTTATATGTATGATTGCCTAAAATGGCTACGAAAAGCCCCCTATTGCCCAAAGTGTATTTGAAAATTGACCTACTTGAAATACTTGCACGTGTCAAGTAGCACAGCAGCACCTGCTCTAAAGTTTCCACCACACAGCAAAAAATCACACTATTTGTACTACACATGGCTGTATCTGCAGTGTACCACATAGGGGAGGATTCAAATCAACACTGCCCTGAATACAGTAGACGAGTGGAAACTTACGGAGAACGCGGGTTGTATTTGTATGTCACAGTGTGCATTCACACACACATGGTAGTCCCTTTTTTTTTTCTTTGCATATTATCTTATCAAAGAGTGATTTGCATGTGGAGAAATTGCTATTGTCTTCAGCACAGGGGCCACGGGCGGCCCGAGAAGTCCAGGCTCAGAGAGCCGTGTTTGAGTAACGGCGAGCAAACGGAAGGGAAAGATTCGTACAGGTTACAATCTGCATCGCATAGCTATCTCTCCTCTGTTGCTTTCTATCACATGTAGACAATCTTCTTTTAGGCCCACATCCCCTTGAGGATTCACAGCAGTACTCAAGTAGTTCTAAAGTCGGAATATTTAAAGCACCTTAAGCCCGAAATTATACATATGCAAGCCCCTCCCCTCGACTGAGGAAGAAATACCCTTAAAAATGTATTGTATTGTAACGTAAAGCACTTAAAATATTATTTATGATAGTACTGCGCTATATAAATACAGTTAATTGGTTAACATCCTTTTATTAAGCAGCAGGCTGTCATTTCTTTTGACAGTTTAACTGTCCAGATACACTTAACCTTGCGTGTTGTTTACCAGTATGACGTACAAATCAACACCAACCCATTTGAATGTGAGAACGGAGTGCGTCGGAGTTGCACTTTGTTTTAAAACCGAAAACACACTGGGTTGTCCTCGAACCAGGATAAAGAAAATCGAGGCCTCTGGCAGAGTTAGGGAGGAAGCAGTGTGTTCGGAGGAAACCGTGATACTGTTTGACATCCCAGCCGTTTGTATATAGACCCAAATGTACATGATCCTGTTACGCAATGACATGATTTAGGGGAGTGATTTTATCAGTGGTCGAGAATGCACACAGTCCCTCAGACAAACCTGCCATTTGACATCTCTCTGCTTCACAACATTTTGCTTTCGGGTTTTAGCAGCTCTTTTTTTTTCGCCCCTCGTTGTTCACGTCTCCTCTGTGCCTTGTGCATGTGTACCATGTGGATGCTTTTTGTACATGTGCATTCTCTCACCATCGCTAAAATCATTGTAGTTTATTTACGCTCGAAAGAAATGAATCTAAAGAACCCTAGGATCACCTTTTATTGTGGCAAAGTCATTTAAAAAGCAAAAAAATAAAAATAAAATTGGAGTCTGTGCTTCACCAGACTGTTTCGTGATCAGTCCGTCTCGTCTTGTTTTTGTGACAGTCCTATGAACTCATGCACTTCTATGTTCAAAACATTACTTCTATTGAGGCGAATAGGCTTTAAAATGAAAACGAACGAAACACCCTGAAGATTAAAGCCGCACTTGCTGTTATATTGACCATTTTGCATCAGATGGTTAGGAGATTAATTTTACTTACATGTTAATGTTTTTAATGCATTTTAAAAACATAATACATGTTTTGTACCAATGATTTGTTGGACGTAATGAATGAGAATTTAATTTTAAGAATAACTAATACACTTGAGAGAGGCTATTGCATTTAATCATAGTTTAAGATCTGTACAATTGACAATGTCAAGATTACATCACAGCTTTCTATTGAAGTTATAAGATGCACCTTATTTTGTTAAGAAGTTAATATTATATTTAGTGCCACTAAAAATATATCGAAAGCTCTTTAAAGCAGATTATGGAAGACGCCCATTATAGTTACATGTCTATGTATATTCTGCAAATTCTCACTCTTGAGGAATCCAGACAGATCAGTCCGTCAGAAATATCATGATGACCTGAAGCATGCATTGTTAATGCAGTTTGCTATAAAATAAGTAAAAAAATGACAGTGATATATCGGTGTCAGAATATGACAATACTGGACATACCGGACAGACTTTAAACCAAGAAGAATCTTGACCGTAGCGTGACAGGTAGTGTTTGTGAACTAACACGCTACACCGTCATGCACGCTAGAGCATTTCAAACCTCAACCTTAGGTTGTCACATTTATTACGAGTTAAGTACAGTAGTGTTAGTTTTCAAGAGAGGATCTCCAGTATGTTAGTGCATATGAACATGCATACGCACCCGTTAATGGAATTTCGGTTTCCTCAGAATAACAGTAGATCCTTTTAAAACAATCAGTCCTTTTTGATCTGTGATTTACAGCCGTTTCAGTTAGTTGGGTTTTTTCTCAGTGTGTTTGTCATAGAGTATCAGTAACTCCTTCACATTTAGTTATAAGTGTAATCTAAGAAAGGAACAGCATAAACCGAAATATACAGGCACACCAAATAAAGATATAATCTCTCTCTCGCACATACACACAGCACCTTTGTTATACCCGTAGAGAGACATCAGTTAGTATGAGGGAGAAAAAAAAAAGTAAAAAACTTTGGCATATTCAGATATTAATGTATTGTCCAGTGTGTTAATTTCTCTTACTGAATTTGCAGTTTCAGATGCTTGGTTCCAAAGTTACCCTCTCCAAAGCTTCTCTGCTTTGCTCTGTTCTAGATTGCTGCTTTAACTCTCATTCAGACATTTATGGAGATTCATGTGAGAGTAAAATATAGAAATATCTAGTGGATAATATTTGGGTTGAATGAGAAGGATGCTCTGGAGATCAGTGAGGTTGTTAGAATGGCGCTGTTTTACTCCAGATGCTGGTCTTGATAAAACCGTTAAAACATTTGGTCACAAATGCAAATCCCAACGTTTTCCCTTTTCTTTTTTTCCATCCCCTTTTTCACAGTTTTATGGGCCATGGACATTCACAGTCACAATAAGTTCAAGTGTTCTCCCTCTTCTTAGCTCTTGTCTCTGTTCATTCTTTTATTCTTGCCTTTGTTTCCCCCGCTGCAACTCTCCTTACATTTTCATACTAACAGTGAGAGATTTTAACTTTTATAATTAGTATAATAATCTGTCTGTAAGTAATCTTAGACAAGAGTTGGTAACATTTTCAACAGTGAATCGAGAAATTTAACCTTACCATCTTTGGTTTCATTCAGTTGTGAAATTGTGTTTTTTCCTTTTTTTAATGTTATTACAACAGCTACTCCTTTGACCGTTGCTACATTTAGTATTAAAATTTGCTTAGCAGAGATGACTAGATATTTTCAACTGTAATGATTGCAATTTTCCTCGCCTCTATTTTGTATGGTATCATTTCAGACCACTTCACCATTATGATGTAATTGTCACTCGTAGAAATAACATTGTGTTTTTCAGTCTCTTTAAAATTGTCAATTTAAAGCTGAATTATTTTGAGCAAATTTTGCTTCCTTGCACACAAAGCAGACTAATACACATTTGTGCAACATACACATTTTTAACCAAAGTTGATTTCTGGAAAGTGCTTTTCCAGTATATAGTTAACAGTCTTGATTCTCTTTCTGGATCCTGTATATATGATTATACAGCTATGTGTTTTCAGTAATTGAGTTATTAGAATACGTAAGGGGTCCGTAATCAGATACTAAATGAAGAAAATGTGATGTTTACATCTTTTTGGTGAACAGTGGCTAAATCTTGTATCGTCCAGTTTCATTGCTAAAATGAAGATTACTTTATTTCCTCTCAAGTGTAGCCTTGGACACAGCTCTTCATAGCGATTAACCCTAGAACACTTCTTCAGCTCCCATGCACATGTATCGTCCCTCTGAAAAATGTAGCTTCAATGTAGTCATGGATAGGTTAAGTGTGAACACATACTGTAACCATGCGCGCACACACAACAGCTATTTTGGTGAAGAGTTTTGCCTGTGCATTCCTGTAGATTTGTGTCTGAACCTCAGATCTGACTCTTGCTTTATAACTGTTACCCCTGTATCCTGGCTCTGTCGCCCTTCACTCCACAGGACCACTGGTATGGTCAGGTTTCGATCCTAGTCTGATAATAGCAATGTGTTGTGTACAGTGGGCCGCTGACATCCTACATTTTCTGGAAGTACGTAGCCTCTATATCTCGTCCTCTTTGCTTTTTAGCATGTGCCCCCAAGACCGTCAAGTCGAGACATCCATTTGTAGGCAACACATTCTGTCGTCTGTTCTTGGAAAACCGATCCATTCATCAACACAAACGCATTGATGCATGCATCAAGATCTCCAAAAGCTCCCAAAAACTTGTGAAGTGAAGGGTAAAGTTCATTATTATTATTGCTGTTATGGTTATGATCGTTATTAACAATTTCTCATTTTTAGTATAAAGAAAGCACCTGATTGTTTTGGAAAGAAACTTTTTCTTTTTAATTTGTCTTACTGTTGTGGTCTGATTTCACAGTGGATTGGGAAGAAAGCCAAAAGGCTCAGCGAGAGAGAGAGAGTCAAAGTTGGCAGTCATGTTTGTATGGTTGGGAAATGACTTACAGTGCTGAAATAAAATTTATTCTTTTAGTAAACAGGAGTTATGGTTTTTATTTTCCTGTTTATTTGAAAGACATTCAGCATTATACTGCCATGTTTTCTGTTTAAGGAAATACGGCTTCTGGGTTGTAACTGAAAAAGTAAGACTTGTAAAATTAGGGTTATGTATCATGCACACTGAATTATTAATGTGGACTACAGTTAACAAGATTTTAATTAAAGTATATTTAGCAAGGATGCATTAAATTGATCAAAAATGTAAGACAAAGTCAGAAAAAAATATTTCAAATAAATGTTCCTTTTATCTTTATTCGCCAATGGAATATATAAAAAAATATTAATCAGCTCAACTGTTTTCAACATTAATAATTTTTAACATTTTTTAAAAATACTATTAAAACTACCCCAAACTTATGGTAAAATACCATTGTTTAATAATTTTTGTTTGTTCATCGTCATAGTACCTTATTGTTAATGTCACAACTGACAACTAAATGTATTCGTAGCTAAATATCCTGCCTGCTGGTAAAGTACCGTTCGTTGTCATACCTAATGTTAACTCGCTGAACTTTAATGTAAAATTTTAATAAAATGTAACAATTTATTTAAAAAATGTAGGCTATAAAAATAATTAGGCAATCAAATCACAAGTCTATTTTTTGTTCGTGGAATGTCCGTTTATTCATATTTCTAAGCATAACATTTTCAAAAGATGCTGCAATTTTCTCTCGTTCAGGTTGTGACAACCACTGCTTAACTGCACACTTTGTAGTCCACTTAATTATGCAGTCGTGATCTGAATGGAAGGCGGATCGGATCACTCGAGGGGCAGGTCACCTCAGGGGTAGATGTGCGTGCCTGCAGCAGCTGGTATAGCTCTGTTCTTGCTGCTGGTGTAAGATGGCGGTATCATGTACAGTCGCGGTCTCAGGTGAGCGAAACAACACGTTCCTTCTTTGAAATGTCATTGCCGCAGTCACCGTGAACACTGGCGCTACATTTGCATTCTGTCTCGCTTTTGTCTAGACACATTTCAGTTTAATTTGACGACTAGGTTTGTTTTAGCTTGCAATTTTTTGATGATCATACCAGGCGCACTAGTGAGGCAACCGCCATTTTTCGTATTTGATAGCATAACTATAATATCAGAGTATATTATCATAATGTTATGAGAAAAGCGGAGTAGATCATGCACGAGAGTCTACAATTTCCTCTGAAATATTAGCCGACAGAATGCTCCATTTCAAGCGTCAAGTCAATCAAGTTAGGCTGTCGATTTGATTTGTAAAGCTGCAATTTCTCGATAAAACACTTGATAATCGCACGCGTGTCTCTGCTTGTCATGATAAAGTGAATCTGGCGGCCAGACAGCCGAAACGCCTCTTGTGATTCAAACACATCAGACTGACATGCATTATCATGCCTTTGCCAGCTGTTGATTCCTGAGACACAAGTACTGAGCTAGTATGGATGGTTTGCAATAATAATAGACCATGTGGTCAGTCATCATCAGCTCTGGCATTCAGTTCAAATGCATATTATTTTGATGCAAAGATGTTTGAGACTTGCATTGCTCAAACGTGCACATCCCTGCTGGAAGATACAGTTTAAGATGGTAGATGAGATGTGGAGCATGTCAGCCTGATTCTAGCTGGTGCAAACTGGTAGACCATCATTGGACTGGCAACAAACAAGAAGAAACCAGTAAAAATGTTATATAACTCAGCCAGCAGCTTAAGCTTGATTTTCCAACAGGGATGCATGTTTAAGGGACCACAGTGTGTTTGCATATATACTATTTTGTAAAGTATGAAAAACGTTTCCATATTGGTTGAGATCATTGCTTAATTTCACTTGGTCCTAATACATATTGACACAGCTGTTTCCTTTCTGGCATCATCTTTACAAATGCAGTGCACTGCATAATGCATATAAACAGGGACACAGTCATGCAGTGAAATCTAGTTGTGCATATATTGTAATGCATACTATATTATTGTAAATCAATATTTAATATGCAGCATTCATGATTTTTTTGCCAGTGCTCTTTAAGCTTCAATAATGAGCACATGTAAGTGGCACATTAATCACATCAGATGCCGCAGAGCACCAGATCCTTGATCCATTTTGTGCAATCTCTTTGTTGTTCATGGTGTATCATGACTCACATTTCAAAAGATGAGTTGTATTGCCAGAAATCTGCCCACACTCATGGTGTGGATGTTTGAGGAAGGTTAATACTGGGTTAAAGGGATGATGACGACAGACAGCTTTCACTGTGCGATTTATAGAAATCAAATTAGCAATAGCAAAGGTGGTTCATTTAGAGTAAAAATAGCACAAATAAGCATTTTATTTCTAGCACTGACATGTCTTTCTGCCTCTCTTCTCCTCCCGCAGGGTACCAGACAGAGGGGCTGCTGCGTTGGGGGCTGTGGAATGAGGTAGTAGTTTGTATAGTTTGGGATCATACCAGATCTGGGAGATAACTATACAGCCTACTGTCTTTCTCACAGCTGCTCCCTCACATCAGATACACCAATGACGTACCTTCACATGGGATTTGTGGGATAGCTGAATATATTATGCATCTTTGTACTGTGTGCTTTCTGAGTGTGTAAAGAAATAGTAGATCATTGGTGATTGTCTCATTGTACAAATTACTATAGCTTAGCCCACAAATAAAAATATTGATGGTCATAACTAAAGATCTTGATTTAATTCATGTGGTCTTTATTGAATGGTTATAGATGTGTAAATAATTGGTGGTCAGAATTCAAACTGCCCTGTCACTATCTGATATGCTGTAACTAGATTGCTATGGTATGTGATTATGTTCACTGCCAGTTTATACATATGTGTATCTTGTGTGATTAATTATGTTATTATTTTGTTTGTTTACACCTGTTGTAATTTATAAAAGTAAATGAAATAGACACATTTGTGTCTCGTTCCTCAATTCACTTTATCAGTAATGATTTAGGACCTATATTATGTGATTTTTACTATTCCTAAATTAAATTAGCCTTATAAAATCTCTTTTCCCAAGGTGAGTTTTTTTTAGGCAACCTTGAGCCAATCTTAAGGCGGAAGGTATGTAATGCATGTTTGTTTTGTATGAGTCTTTTTCAAAGACAGTGTTGGGAACGTTACTTTGGAAATTTAATAGGTTACAGATTACAAGTTATCCTATTTAAAATGTAATAAGTAGTGTAACTATTTCAATTACTTTTACTAAAGTAATGTAACTGAATACATTTGATTCCTTTTTTACATTTCTAATGTTTTCAACTGTTAATCATTTTCAAATATGTAAACTTGGCAGGGTTAACCTTACAGTAGTTCTCAGCACTGATTACTGTCAGACTTTTCAAATTCTTCATCGCTTGAATTAAGATTATAATCATTTAATTTTAACCTCCTGAGACCCTGCATCCTCATATGAGGACATTACATTTTAGTGAATTTCTCTGAGACTATACATGCCACAGTTTTAAGTCTGGATGTCCTGTACAGAGTACATTCAGGGCTTTTCAGAGACACTAAATGTTTGGAGGTTTCACTATGACCACTCCTTCTCCTTGGTCTTCAAAAATGTCTGATATTAATTTAGTGACACTCTTATGCAAATATGATAATATTTTGTAATTATCATTTAAATCTGACTAATTTTTAAACTGTCATAAATCAACATCTCAGGAAGGAAAATGTTATGGGGTTTCAAATCAAAATATGACTTTCTGTTACGAAACAGGACGTTGATTTCATACATGTCCTCATATGAGGACACCAGGACTTAAAGCATGTTTATTACTCATTTTGGGAGACACAACAAATGAATAGGGAAAGAAATTATATTTAAATATTCCTATGAAATATTATTATGAAAATCATGTCAATTATTACTCCCATTATTACACTTCTTTTTTCATTACATGTTGCCCCAAAAACACATTAATATGCAAATTAGATTTAGTTTATAGATACATTATATATAATGAGAAAACCTGTTTATGGCCATTTTACACACATTTTGCATGAAGAAAAATGGTATATCAAATCATTCTGTTATAACATAGTTGAGAATTATCTTTATACAAAGTTTGGTAAAAAAAAATCCTGAAAACTAAAAATGTATTGGTGATTTAAAAAAAATCAATTGTTATTGCCTATGCATGTTCATTCATGTCTTTTTATTTTTTATCAATGTCCTCTACCAAGGACGTAGCATAACTTATGAATGAAATATTTTTAATTTTATTTAATGCTCTAAACAATGTAATGACATGAAAAAAATACTATTTTTTTTTCTAAAATGTTTTGCCGGGTCTCAAGAGGTTATAGCACAGCCACCACAAAATCAGACTTTTAACACCTCTTTTCACATTGTGATCGTTCTGAGGTTAAATAAAGATTTAAAATCATAACAAGAAATAGTTTAATAGCTATGATACTGTTTCTGAAATCAAATCTTTGCATAGTTATGACAGGAAACACTAGCATCAATGCCTTGGAATAAAAAACAGTTAATCTTAAAAAATAAAGCATATACATAATCCCAAATAGGAAATAAAACAGTTATCGAAGGAGCATGTGTCCTATTCTGTGTCCTAAACTCCTGAAACATTGTCTCATATTTTAGAGCAGGCAATGCAATTTATGAAAGAAATCTGTATGTTTTCTAAACCTGTATGTGGATGTGTGTGTTAAAAAAAAATTCAGATGTAACCCCCGTTGTAATTGTTAACATTTTCATAAGTATCTTTAATTTTATTACACATTTTTTCTCAGTAACTGTAACTGATTACAATTACATTTATTTTGTAATTAAATTACGTAATTTAGTTACATGTAACTTACTTCCCAACACTGGTCAAATCATTTTTTGTCCTTTGTATCACCATTTGTACCAATGGCGATTTAATTAAAAGATCGGTTAGCTCATATCACATCAAACCATGCAAATTATTATTATTGTTATACTTTATTCTCAAATTATTAATGTTAACAACATCAGCATTGCCTATACTGTGTA